CACACACACACACTCACACACACACATACACACATACTCACACACACACACACACACAAATAAAGTGTACTTGATTGCGCTAAAAATTACTTAAATACAAGTACATTTGTAGTATATTTTTATTTTTTGTCCTAATTAAAATTATAAAAAGTTATACAATATAAATACACCAAATTATTATACCAAATAATAATTAAAAGTATATTTCTACTTTAGTAGTACTTCAGTGCAATTGCAATATTTAAACTGATTTTAAGTGCAGTCAGATAAAGTACCAGAAGTGTTTTATAACTGCATTGCTTAAAAGTCTGCTACGATTGCTTTACATAACATTTTAGTAGATTTTTATATATACTATCACTAAGTTCTATTTGGATTTTCATGAAAAATACAGTAGAAATGTACTACTGAAGTGAAACCCTACAGGTTACTGTGCTTAGACTAGTATAACTGCACTAATAGCACATGTTTGGATTAATCCTTCATATGTGTTTAGATGTCTACCAAAACTCACAATTTAACAGTAATCATACTTTTAGCATAAAGTACTTGAAGTGCTATATTTTTAATGTGGAAAAAGTGCTACTAATGACATAGTAATAGTGTACTCGGCTGTACTATTTAAAGACACCATAAACATGTAGTTAAGTATACAACACATTTGAAATGAATTATTTAATCTATAAAAATATGTGGGAAATACATTATAAATACATTTATCATTTAGTATATACTCATAATATATTATTCTTATATTTTAAATCATTAATAAGTGTATTTTCCATGTATGATAAGTATATTTGTGTATGAAAGATGGTTTCAATTGTACTGCAAGTGGTAAGTAAATAAAAAAAATTAATAGAGAAATTGTTAAAAGCACATTTTAGTTCATATTCATGGTGTCCCAAAATAGCACAGTTGAGTGCACTTAGATGATCTTAAGTTTATCTTAAGTACTAAATAATCATTTTTAGTATATTAAGTACAAAATCAGTGCTTTCAGCAGCTTATGGAAGTGTAGTGAACTAAAGTGTGTGTTGACTGGGTGATCTGTGACCGTGTGTTTGTGAGCGACGCACCTGTGAGCAGCAGCAGGTGGATCTCGTCTCTGTCGCTCTGACTCTGGTTTGGGACACGCAGCTTATAAAACACGTCCTGCTGTTTCAGGCCGCTGACTCTCCTGTGCGGATCGATAACATGGACAGAGCGTTTGAGCCGTCTGCAGCTCGCTTAGACTCTAATGTTAAGCTGTCAAAACAGCCCTGTTGCTCAACATACTGCAGGAAAGGGGCGGAGCCTGACAGCTGTGATTGACAGGGCACTTTAAACATCTCCATTTGAACAAAGAAAACAATCCAGTAACATAGATTACAAAATACATAGAAACTACAGTACAAACAGTGATATTGTGAAATATGTGACTCTGGAGCACAAAACCAGTCATAAGGGTCAATTTTTTTAAATTGAGATTTATACATCATCTGAAAACTGAATAAATAAGCTTTGTTAGGATAAGACAATATTTGGCCGAGATACAACTATCTGAAAATCTGGAATCTGAGGGTTTTGATATATTTACAGTAGGAAACTTACAAATTATCTTCATGGAACATGATCTTTACTTAATATCCTAATGATTTTTGGCATAAAAGAAAAATGTATAATTGTGACCCATACAATGTATTGTTGGCTATTGCTACAAATATCCCCCAGCGACTTAACACTGCTTTTGTGCTGCAGGGCCACATATTTAAAATAGCTCTTTTCTATGTGAAATATACATATACACAGGTTGGATCCTCACCGGACGTGTTGCAGAAACTCATTGGAAGCGGTCCGAGTCCGGTTCTGTCGGCTCGGGGGAGATAGGCTGGTGTTACCGGGTCTCTTGGGCCCCGAGGGAACTAAGAACTGAACCATCTGGAACATTCTTCTCTCCAATATCTGAATATGACGAGAAACACACACGCATGAGAATCAGAAAACACCGATCATCCGCTCCAAACACAGAACTGGGCTTGTGCAAACGCTTCTTGAGACACAGGTCTGGAGAACAGACGGCTGACCTTCAGCACAGATCAGATGAAGATCAGCCCATGCTCAAGCCAGGGTTATCCACTGCTAGTGTTAGTTAGGGTTAGGTGCGATACTGACCGTGTGCTGGTGATTCTCACCGACTCTGATGAAGATCTAAATATGAAGAGCAGCAGTGAAACTCTATCCAGGAACACTTTCACAATCTCTGCTCCTCAGACTCGCTGTAAACAAGCGGCACGTGGAGCGTCCCGTGACGTCACGCACAGTGTCGCCACCTGCTTTCAATTGAGAGTAGCTTGACGTCACTAGATGACATCACAATGGCAAATTCACGGATCTGCATAAAGATGAATGCAGATCAGTGGGCAAGATGAGAACTTAAATAAGGTTTATCCAAGAAGTTGCTATAGTTGTCCCTAAACTTTTGAAAAAATGTCTCAAAAGGGGCGGGGAAGTCGCTAAATCTAGCTACAAAGTAACTAAATTGGCAACACACACTCATTAACACCGCGACAGTGATGACTCGCAGATCTTCCTCTGGAGCTCAAACACACAGACAGCTGTCTCAAAAGGGGCGGGGAAGTCGCTAAATCTAGCTACAAAGTAACTAAATTGGCAACACACACTCATTAACACCGCGACAGTGATGACTCGCAGATCTTCCTCTGGAGCTCAAACACACAGACAGCTTTTATAATGTGATGTTATTGAAGCCGTCGGTGCTCAATAACACAGAAATTAATGTTTCTGCAGACTTTTGTTCACACACACACACATACACACACACACTCCGGCGCTGCGCAGGCATAAAAAAAGAGGATATTAGTTTGGAGATGAAGAATGTTTAATTTCGGCGTAAATACACACAAAGCGGTTCGGCCGGCGATAAGAATCAGAAGCGACACAAACGGGCTCAAACAGACGCGTCTGGCTTTGACTAATGCATGAAAATATAAGTCAAGTCATCTTTATTTCTATAGCGCTTTATACAGTACTGATTGTGTCAAAGCAGCTTTACAGAGTCAAACAGGAAAATAGTAGGTCAATAATGCAAGAGGATAACAAAGAAAACAAAGTAAACCAGAGACTCCACTGAACTCAACATGATGCAGAAAGAGTCATGCTTACACGACAAAGGCTTCAATAGTTATGAGTGAACAGCAGGAGGCGCTCGAGGATCTGAGATGATCAGACGCTGCTCCTGTTCCTCATGAACACACTTCTGCGCACACACACACATATATATATTCAATCACACACACACACACACACACATATATATATATACAATCACACACACACACACACACACATATATATATATATATACACACACACAATAAAATATCCATATTTCCATTCCAAAGATAACATCCAACACAAATCTGCAAACATCTGAGGTAACCGGTTTACTGCTAACTAGTGAAACACGAGCTGCAGCTCAAAACACATGTTCGATGGAAACATTGTGCATTATGATGGAGTTTGTAGCTTAATTCACTATATTTGTAATAGTTTGAGCTGCAGTTCAGTTCAATAGGAAATCAGTCGAAAGTAGGGCTGCAACTAACGATTATTTTGATAATCGATTAGTTGGTCGATTATTTTTTCGCTTAATCGATTAATCGGATTAAAAACAAACAATTTTCTTTTTTTATTTTATTGACAAAAACACACTATTCCACATTCTGCCCAATGTCCTTAAAACAAACGTTCCAACTGAATGCTATGAAAACATACAGTGCTTAACAATTTATTAGACCCAGTGGTAACGAATAGGTAAGAGTAATGTTCTGCAGGAACACACGTTCTTAGCCCGATTCGGACGGTAATTGTTTCTCATATGGACGTCTGTAAAAATAAATTTACTTATCACCTCATGGATTCCGAATAGGGCTTAGTGTCATTTCTTTATCCTGTTAAAGGCGGGTTTGAAGCGTCTGATATTTATATTCAGACAATTGCACGCTTTTATCCCCTTACAGTTCCTACTCTCATAAAATATGCGCAATGCATGTTGACCTTTAAACCTTCATTTAACTTTCAACAACAGATATTTCAGCACAATAAATGTGTTTGCGCTGATTATTAAATGTGTCTGTTTTCTGTCTGTCTGACGCGCCCGCCGCGCCGGCGCTCATTCAGTAAAGATTAAAACTGAACACAGACTGTCAGGACGGACCTTTATGCAAAAATTACATTAATCGATTAATCGATAATGAGAATCGTTGTCGCTGATTTTCGTAATCGATAATAATCGATTTTATCGATTAGTTGTTGCAGCCCTAGTCGAAAGCATCCAGTCTCTCAGAGCATTGAAGTCAATGTTACATTTATCAGAAGATATTGTGCTGTTGATTTCCCTCCAAAGTGATGTCACTTCCTGGAGGAGGATGGTTTGGTTTGATACGGAGGACAGAAACAACTTTCAATCAGTGATATATAATGAAAATGTGCTACATAATAGGAATGATCAGCCAATAACTCATATTCAGATAAATGTCTATGAAATACCATTCCAGCTTTTCTAAAATATATTTTGATATATCAAACTCATTAATTTAGACGTAAAACAAACACAAAGTCTCTCAGCTGACTGAAAATGTATTTAATAACAGAAATAAAACATCATCTGATGTACAAGCTGACGCTCCATTCATTAAACGTCGGCTAAACGTTCTACAGAAATAAACACACAAACAAGCATTCTCCAAACAGTTTCTGTTTATGCTGTTTTCCTAATGTTTCATTTGTAAATCGTTAATAAACGCAGCAGAATGTGGCTGTGAATAATTCAGTTTGATCATGTCTTTGTTTTACATCATTAAAGACTGCAGTTAAAGTGCACTATTCTCTCATCAGGGAGAAAAGCTCATTCTATTCAAGTGTTCACAGCTAAATGTGGGACTTTTAAACATGTTTCAAACACTGTGACAGTGTCCTTCATTCACTTTCCTCTGGAGGAAAGAAACTGTAAACGTCACAGCGCTCGCCTTCAGAAACATCCATGAAACTTCAGCAGAACTAAAACAGACCGTCGTCCAGAGAGAAAATACTATTCAAGAATCTCAAGTTCAGTTGAGAATGAAAAACTACATAAGCATAACTCTGAAAGAGCTAAAAGCCCCAGTGAGCGTCGAGCACATTCTATGTTGACCCGAGCGACTGTAACAGCTCATGAAAAACACACGATAAAACAAAGCAGGCTAAAATCAGAAGAATTACAGGTGAAAACCCCTCAGATGATGATGATTCCAGTGGCTTAGAAGGACAGGATGGTCCTGCTGATGATGTCCACACACTCTCTGACCTCATCCTCCTTTATAGTGAGGGGCGGGGCTAGTCTGATGATGTCACCGTGAGTGGGCTTGGCCAACAGACCGTTGTCACGGAGACGAAGACACACCCTCCAGGCGTCATAGTCTGTGTGACATCAGAGGATTAGAAACAGATCACACACACACACACACACACACACACACACACATTTCCAACATTGGAATTGTGTGACATTTCCACATCAGAGAAACGGATTTCTAGTGTAAGAATCCTAAATAAATGAATAAGCTGCTGCCATTAAACTAATAGTTCACCAGAAAATTAAAAAATGTGTTGAAAATGTGTTCACCCTCAGGTCTATCCCAGATTAGGATGAGTTAGTTTCTTCATCAGGTTTGTAGAAATGTAGCACTGCATCAGTGTCTCAGCAATGGATGCTCTGCAGTGAATGGGTGCCGTCAGAATGAGAGTCCAAACAGCTGATAAAAACATCACAATAATCCACAAGTAATCCACAGCACTCCAGTCCATCAGTTAACATCTGGAGAAGACAAAAGCTGAGACACATCCAGCATTAAGACGTTTTTAACTAAAATATGAGTCTATAATAACTCTTCCTCCAGTGAAAAAGTGTTCTGGTGTGAATCAGGAGAGAAATCTGCACAGATCAAGCACAGACCTAAACAAATATGTGGCTGGATTTAATGCATGTTTGTGACCAGCTGAAACCTGATCTTCGACTCTTTCTGCTGTCAGCTGATGTTTTCCACCCAAATAAAGACCTGCACGCGCCCACACTCCTCAGATCACCTGTGTTTGATCTTCAGCTCAGTGACTGCTGTTTAACCGGGCGAGCAACCCACAGTTCATTTTGCAGCCTGTAATACTTTCACATCCAGAGAGCAGAGTTTCTGACGGTGATGCAGTGGTTTCACTGATATGCATGTGAACCTGTAGACTGGTTTGAATGGATGGTGGTTTTGTGGTGGATCTGGTTCTGACCTTTGGTCTCTTTGATGATGATGGCGTTCAGGAGGCCTTTCCCGCGGACGCCGCTCACAATCTCCAGCGGAAGCTTGCTGAGCTCAGCGCGCAGAATCTGACCCATCAGATCCGCATTCTGAGCCAGACGCTCCTCCTCCAGAACCTGAGGAGATCCGGAGCGTGAGCAGTGTTCACACACACACACACACACTCACACTCACACACTCTCACACAAACTCACACAGGTTTGTTTTTGTGAAAAGTGGGGACTCTCCATAGGCGTAATGGTTTTTATACTGTACAGACCGTATATTCTATTGCCCTACACCAACCCTACCCCTAAACCTACCCCTCACAGGAAACTTTCTTTTATTTCAGATTTTCAATACACTCCATTCGGAGATAATAAAGAACTACTCTCAAGATTTTATTTTGACGGTAAACAGCAGGAAGCCCTTAAAGCTTCTCTTCTGTTGATAAGCGCTTCTCGCTACATGTTTGTGAAGATTGTTGGTTAAAGTTTGGTTCCTAAATGTGCTTTATAGCGACTCAAACTCAGAGCGGCTGCAGATGGAGCTCCTGAGGATGATTTACTGTGAATCGAGACGCTGAAAACACCGGATCATGACCTGCTGGTGTGCAAATGAACACAGTACCTCTAGCGCAGCGACGTCATTGTACGGGACCAGCTCAAATCCAGGCATGAAGGGACCGAAACCCTCGTAACTGCTGGGGTCCGTCGAGCTAGAAATAGCCGCCATCGTCCGGCCCCAGAAATTCCCCGCTGTGAGAGCGAGAAACACAGACACTGCTTCAAACTGCACACGTGTGCAACATAACATTAATATATCAACCTTTCAGGCATCTCTGAGTCATAGAAGACTTCATGAATAATCAACCTGTTACAAATAAATTCTCTCAAAGTGTTACATAAACTTATTGACTAAGATCAAATAAATAAATCCCCTTTGTCTCATCACTCCTGAACATGTACACTACCAGTCAAAACTTTTTGAACAGAAAATGTTTTAATGTTTTTTAAAGAAGTCTCTTCTGCTCACCAAGCCTGCATTTATTTGATCCAAAATACAGCAAAAACAGTAATATAGTGAAATATTTTTATGATTTAAAATAACTGTTTTCTATGTGAATCAGCATATTAGAATGATTTCTGAAGATCATGTGACACTGAAGACTGGAGTAATGATGCTGAAAATACAGCTGCGCATCACAGAAATACATTACAGTTTAACAGATATTCACATAGAAAACAGTTATTTTAAATAGAAAAAATATTTCAAAATTTTACTGCTTTTGCTGTACTTCTGATCAAATAAATGCAGGCTTGCTGAGCAGAAGAGAAGAGACTTCTTTAAAAAACATTAAAAACCGCACTGTTGAAACATGTTTGACTGGTCGTGTATAATAAGCCCGTGTAAGTGAGGTGGACTGTGAGCTGCTGTCTCACCTGCAAACACGATCTTTGCCTCATATTTCGGGACGCCCTTGACCGTGTACGCCCACTTACGAGCCAGTTTACAGGCCGTCTCTCCGCCCTCCACACCTTCAACACAAGAGCAGGTTACAGCACTGTTCGAACCGTCAGTCATGTCCTGTGTTTTGACGGCTGAAGCTGTACCTGTGTTCATGGGCAGCACTTTATCGTATCCGAACAGGCCGGTGATGTACTGCTCGTAGACACCCAGCACGTCGTTGTAGAAGGCTCTGGAGGTGAGCGTCAGCCGCGAGGCCTGCGCCGTCAGCGCCGCTATGATCTTCGGGTGGCAGTGACCCTGGTTAACAGCGCTGTACGCGCTCAAGAAGTCAAAGTACCTGCGGCCCTCCACATCCCACACGTGAACCCCTGCAACACGCCGCAGAAACACTGATCAGAGACGTCTGACTCACACAAACCAGATATTTCAGTTGTCACGTGTATGCATGCAGTGCGTGTGCTGGAGGGAATGCACACTGAACACATGCAGACTTGAGTGTCTTTGCACTCATTATTTTGTCATTGGCTCACGCTGCTCATTTACAACGAAGCAAAAACAAAATATGAAAAAGAGAATTAGCCTTTTTCACAAAAATCTGAAATCACGTCAGCGCAGGGTAAAGTTAGTTCTGTTACAGGTCTGCGGCTATTATATTAGTATGCCCTTTTCTCAAATAATGCTTCTTAGCTTTTCTGTTTTGTCTGTTTTACAAGTTGTTGTTATATAATCTACAAAGAAATAACATGTTTGTAACTTATTGGTCACTCAGACCGCTGACTCGTGAGATAACACGCTCAACACGCTCCGGCAAACTCCCTTTTTATATAGTGTTTGATCTCCGGTACATTTGAGCGTCTCTCCGTTTACTCCGTCATTTCCCTCGAATCACCACATCATGATAAATTACTTAAAAATGACAACATTTATGGCCAGATGCACATTTTTCCAAGAATACATCAAACGATTCTAACTGAGTCCGGCTGAAGCATATTAAACTCAACACAACAACGTAATCTGATACAATAGGAATAAAGTCATGAATATGTATTTCCCAGGGCACATTATACAACGTACATTTATGCCATCATGTTATTAATGCAAAGGAGAGCAAGTAGAAAATACAATATTACTTTATTATTAATAATAATAATAATAATAATAATAGCAAAAAAAATTAAAGTGGAGAGTCATAATGCACAGCGAGCACCAAACGGACAGAACGGCGAAACTAACTGAATTATAATTGCCATCATTTAGAATTAAACAAACTGGTATTTGATGACCCGAGCTGACCACACAGTTAATTGTGAAATGTTTGCGCTTTGTAGAGTAATGTACCTGCAGTTCAAGCATTTTCATAATATCTCATTCGTAAAAAAACACTTTGCTTCTCGAACTCATTCTTGTTGAGTGCAGCCGCTGTTGTCACCGGAACAACTTTTACCTGCAAGCACCAGTCCAGAAGCCAGAAACACGGAAGTGTGAAAAAGGCTAAATGACAAAATAAAAGCAAACTATTGGAGATACAGTACATGTTGTGAACGTGAGGCAGAGATGCATGCAGCTTCCAGAAAAAAGTCAGAATTGCGAGAAAAACGTCGGAATTGCGAGAAAAATGTCGGAATTGTGAGAAAAACGTCAGAATTGTGTCAGAATTGCGAGAAAAACGTCAGAATTGTGTCAGAATTGCGAGAAAAAAGTTAGAATTGCGAGAAAAAAAGTCAGCTTTGTGAGACATAAACGTGCAATAATGAGTTTATAACTTGCAATTGTGAGACACAAACTCATAATTCTGAGAAAAAGCTTTGCGAGACATAAACTTGTGTCAGAGTTGTGGTGAGAAACGTGCCCAGGCCTACCCTCTCCTCGCTCCAGAGCCACCGGCAGCGGGTGGTAGTTATGAGCGCCGTGTCGATCCTCGCGAGCGTAAACCTCCTCTGATGTCAGCGCACGCTCCGCGGGCTCGGCTCTGGACGCCGCCGAGGACGATGCACGCTTCCCAGAATGCACTGCGCGGCTCAGAGCGGGCGTCACGCGGCTCACCAGACTCTTCAAGCTGTTCATGATGACTCGTTCGGTTCAGACGGAGACAAACTGAGAAACAAACACTCAATCACACATCAATCCTGCGGAGAGCAGCACATTTGTAGTCGCATTTATTTCTACAGCGCTTTATACAATATTCATTCAAAGCTGCTTCACAGAGATGAACAAGAAAACTGTGATTTAGTTACAAAACTCAAAATTAGATTCTGCTGTAAAGCAGCAGGGAATATAAAGCTGTATTTTTTAGCTTCACAGTATATATCAGAGTATTTTTTCTTCACATGACTAGACCTTTATAAAGGTTTACAGTGGCTTATTTTACTGTCAGGAGGACACAGAATATAAAAACATTGCAATGTCAAATAGAAATATACCATGAAAAACAGCGGTAATCAAATTAATTAATAAAATTAACAACTGTAGGTAATTTAAGTTATTTTAAAGTTAATTCTTAAAATGTAATCAAGTGAAAATTAAAAAAATGGGTAAGTTGTGTGATATTCCTTAACAAATTAGAGATATTCCATAAATGTTTTAATACAATGTAGTATTATTATTGTTATTATTATAACTTAACAAGGACATTCTACTGTGCAATATTTCTGTCATACTTTTTTCAAGTTAGACCAATATTGTATTATTAGATGAATAAATATAACTGTAGGATTCTGTAAATGAAATAAAATGGACTACAAGCATTTACTAAATGAATTATTTTATTATTCTTGCTCCTGGTGCTTTTATGAATAATTCATTAGTGACATAACGTTACTCTATTAGTTATCAAATGGAGACACTTTTCACAACATCTAATTTAATTCCTTATGAGGAAAATCAAGACCAGCTCTATTTATTCACTTTTAATTAGGGTTGGGTATCGTTTGGGTTTTTTCCGATACCGGTGCCAAATAGATACTTTTAAAACAGTTCCGGTGCCTGAACCGATACTTATTAAAAAATAAATAAATAAAAATTCCCCCCAAAAATGATGGATTGGCCATTAACACTATAAGCACATGATGTCTGTTTCATTCATACTGGACGAAATAAAATGTTTGTGAATCAGCAATGAATGTAGTATTATTATTGTTATTATTATAACTTAACAAGGACATTCTACTGTGCAATATTTCTGTCATACTTTTTTCAAGTTAGACCAATATTGTATTATTAGATGAATAAATATAACTGTAGGATTCTGTAAATGAAATAAAATGGACTACAAGCATTTACTAAATGAATTATTTTATTATTCTTGCTCCTGGTGCTTTTATGAATAATTCATTAGTGACATAACGTTACTCTATTAGTTATCAAATGGAGACACTTTTCACAACATCTAATTTAATTCCTTATGAGGAAAATCAAGACCAGCTCTATTTATTCACTTTTAATTAGGGTTGGGTATCGTTTGGGTTTTTTCCGATACCGGTGCCAAATAGATACTTTTAAAACAGTTCCGGTGCCTGAACCGATACTTATTAAAAAATAAATAAATAAAAATTCCCCCCAAAAATGATGGATTGGCCATTAACACTATAAGCACATGATGTCTGTTTCATTCATACTGGACGAAATAAAATGTTTGTGAATCAGCAATGTTGAAAAATGCCACTATTAAGCTGATTTTCATGACGATGGCTGTGTAACTGCTTAACTATATAAGAATGTATATAAGTGACATTAATATAATATATATATTAATAATATAATATAATATAATATAAAATCTCATTGTAAAGCTCTAGGTTTTAGCTTCTGGTTTGAGCTCTGACACAAAACTCTGGTGTATTTTATGTGTTTGAGCTTCAACATTAATCTAAATGAAAATAAAATTCAAATTCAACCTTCATAACCAGCCATATAACAATATGATATGATAACAACATGAAATCTCTGAGCCGTGTAACACAGATGAAGTGAGCTGTGCTGGATCATCAGCGTGTGAAACTGATGAACAGACAGAAAGCAGCCTGTGTTTCTCACATCAGTCTGTCTCAATCATCAGAATCAGATCAGACTGCTGCTGACCTCAGATCAACACACATCAGTCTCACTGTCATCAATTATTAACTGATTCCTTAGAAACTTTCCACTAACACTGTCACTTATTTATACAGTCACATGACCACGTGACACACGTCAAACGCAGCCTGAGGCGGTGATTGGCTGAAAACTCACTGCCCTCAACACGCCCACTGCATGCGCTGCCAAGGGTTAAATAAAGACACACACACACACACACACACACACACACACACTCTC